GATAGATAGATGATAGATAGATAGATAGATAGATAGATAGATAGATAGATAGATAGATAGATAGATAGATAGATAGATAGATAGATAGATAGAAATGGTTCATTGTTCAAATTATACCAGTAATTGTGACAATAATTGTATTCCCTGACAGCACTCACCAGTCAACCCATTCTCACTCCCAACTCTTCACATATCTACGCTTGATCAGGTTCCCTCTGCGTCCAGTTTCGACGCTTCAGGTAACCCCCTCGCATCAGCAGTTGACGAGATGAGAACAAGGAGGATGAGTCCGTTGTCATATTTTTGAAAAGTGTAGAAAATGTATGACAACTAACCATTCCAAACCCTAAACTTAACTTCTATTAGACATCCTATCCCTGACTTCACTAACTAAAATTAACCAGTAACCCTGATCCCTAAAATTAACCACAGACCTCAACCCAAAGACCCTATGTGGTGTGTCAAAGAATAAATTGCACCGGCATGGATAAAGTAGGTGGGTTGAGATTTTACAGCTTCAGTAGCTGCTATGAGGTGTTGGCACAATTTCCGGTGCTGGTTAGTACGCAATTTTTATTTACCAACGTAAATTTCTTAAATATCCGTAAGTTTCCACAAGTGATATCAATGTTCTATCTGGTGTAATTTCTATTAATATTGATCATGTTTATCACAATATACACTCACCGGCCACTTTATTAGGTACACCTTGCTAGTACCAGGTTGGACCTCATCTTGCCTTCATAACTTCCTTAATCCTTTGTGGCACAGATTCAACAAGGTACTGCTCAGAAAGTCTGGTTCATATTGCCATGATAGCGTCACACAGTTGCTGCAAGTTTGTCAGCTGCACATCCATCATCTGAATCTCCTGTTCCACCACATCCCAAAGGTGCTCTATTGGATCTATCTTGTGACTGTGGAGGCCATTTGATTACAGTGAACTCATTGTGTTCAGAAAACCAGTCTGAGATAGTTTACGCTTTATGACGTGAAGCGTTATCCTGCTGAAAGTAGCCATCACAAGATGGTACACTGTGGTCATAAAGGGATGGACATGGTCAGCAACAATACTCAGGTAGGCTGTGGCATTGACACGATGCTCAGTTGGTACTAATGGGCCCAAAGTGTAGAAAATATCCCTCATAACATTGCACCACCAGCAGCCAAAATCATTGATACAAGGCAGGATGGATTTATGCTTTCATGATGCCAAATTCTGACCCTACCATCCAAATGTTGCAGCAGAAATCCAGACTCATCAGACCAGGCAACGTTTTTCAATCTTCTATTGTCCAGTTTTGGTGAGCTTGTGCAAATTGTAGTCTCGGTTTCCTGTTCTCAGCTGACAGGAGTGGCACCCGGTGTGGTCTTCTGCTGTGGCCTATCTGCCTCAAGGTTCAACGTGTTGTTCGTTCAGAGATGCTCTTCTGCCTACCTTGGTTGTGACAAGTGGTTATTTGAGCTACTGTTGCCTTTCTATCAGCTCAAACCAGTCTGGCCATTCTCCTCTGACCTCTGGCATCAACAAGATATTTGTGCCCACAGAACTGCTGCTAACTGGATATTTTCTCTTTGTGGACCATTCTCTGTAAACCCTAGAGATGGTTGTGGGTGAAAATCCCAGTAGATCTAGGGTTGGGCAATATTGGCAAAAAGATTAATCACGATTAATTGTGGTATTTAGCCGATAACAATTAATTTGACGATTAATCCCCTGGAGTCCCTGGACACCCTTATTTCGTAGTCACATGAACAATTTAGTGGGAAAGATTTGCCCTTTGTAAAAAATTGTTCCAAATTGTGTGAAAATGACAGATTTCAGGCTATACATCATATTTTAAATTGTGTTGATAGATAAATAAATTACAGAACTTTAATTTTAATGTTCGTCATGTTTGAAGCAGAGAGGAGCAGCGAGCGGACTGACCGGAGTTATTCCCAGTCCGTCTGCCTGGTGGCATTAATCGTATTAATCGTCAAGTGACAAAAACTAATCGATTAATATTTTTCTGACGATTAATTGCACACGATACGATTATGCCCAACCCTAAGTAGATCAGCAGTTTGTGAAATACTCAGACCAGCCCAAAAGCATCAACAACCATGCCACGTTCAAAGTCACTTCAATCACAGTTCTTCCCCATTTTGATGCTCGGTTTGAACTGCAGCAGATCGTCTTGTCCATGTCTACATGCCTAAATGTATTGAGTTGCTGCCATGTGATTGGTTGATTCAACATTTGCGTTAATGAGCGGTTGGACAGTTGGACGTAATAAAGTGGCCAGTGAATGTAGATCATTATTATTTAATTACACAGACCAACTTTACGTCAAACTGAGGATCCAACAATTTAAAATGGTAAATGGTGAACGGCTTGAACTTGTAGAGCACACTAATGGTGCGTTCACACCAAACGCGATTTCAGCATCAGGAGCCTCAGGTTTACATGCAAAGTCTATGGTGGACGCACTTCAAGCAATGTCGGGAAGTTCTGCGGCGATTTGAACGATCTGAGCGTTCGACGTGCTGAGGCGCAAATCGCTGAAGTTAGAAAATCTGAACTTTTGCATCTCGACGCGCCGCATCAACCAATCAGAGAGACTCCACTGTGTTGACTAGCGACATATTTCCCGACGGGACAATTTACTGAATGATGTCCACTAACCTGAAACAGACGGAGAGGAGCTCTTTAGCTGAAATTGAGTGCCTGCAGTCGGTGTCCTGACAGAGATATTCGCACCAATGCGTGGCAGTGACTCATCAGACTGGAAAAATAGTCCTGAAAGCGAGCTGTGAGCCTCTACTCTGAATTATCTGGTGAATTAATTATGAATTAATTATCTGATGAACGTGACATGCTCTTTCTCTCTGTAAATAAAACAAAGCCACTTCCTCGTCTGACATTAAACAGAGCTCGACAGAGGAGGGAGGAGCGGGGAGGCTGTTGCCGTGCAGCGCTTCAAGAGCTGTCCTGCGTCTGACCTCAAAGTGCACAAGCGACCAACTTCAGCGTTGGCTGCGATTTTGAAGCTGAAATCGCGTTCGGTGTGAACGCAGCATAACAGAGGCCGGGCTGCCATGCCCCAGCACCACTGGACCTTCTGACCACCATCAGCAGGCAAGGTAGGTAAGGTGTCTTGCCCAAGGACACAACGGCTGAAACAGCTGGAAAGGGGGATCAAACCAGTGACCTTCAGGTTCCTCCCCTAACCACTCCGCCACAGCCGCCCCAAAAGTCAATGTTGTTTTTCAGCCTGACTTTTACATTCTACACCTATAAATGGCAACATGATAGGTTGGTTAGGTGTGAGGGGTGGTGGTTGTGTTGTGTATAAGTAATAAATGAAATTCATCTCCTCACCAAGGGAAACTCATGAGAGACGCGTCCATCTGGTGGAAGCTTGGCACCAAAGCCAAGTGCAGGAAACAGCTTGTCGCTATCATAGTCCTGGATGATCTCACCCACGGCCCGCAGCGCCATGGCGTAGTCATTCAGCTGATATGGGCTCATGTAATGAAGTGAGGTGGGCTGAGATGGGTTACCTGGACAGCAAATGAAAAAATAAAAAATAAAAAAAATCGACATCAACATCACTTTACTTTTCTTGGTTTTTATTTGTGTTAAAATCAGTTTAGTAAATCCTGAACCATAACACTTCTAACAGGAAACATGAGGTCACCAGAATCATCAATAAGAAAATTATTGACTGTTTTCATTGATTAAAATACCCAAAAATAATTTAATATTCTAATTTCAAATACACTGTTATGGGTTTTCCAAAATTACACAAATGTGCATCTTTGCAAGCTAACTTTAATATCGACAGAAGACTACAATGGGCTAATGAGACTTTTTTAACACGAGGCAATGATATTAGTTATTAAATGTTAATATGAGTGTTGAACTCTGTACTCGGTCTCTAAACACTCATTTTACAGCAGGCTGCTCATAAACAATACTCTCTATTATCAACTTGCTTTTTTGTTCAGCTCAGTGTACTGCTCTTTTCATTCATTTTTAAAATTATTTTACTGTTGACTTTAATGTGGCTACAGGGATGTCGAATTTGAGGTCCAATGCTTCATATAGGAGCTTTAAACCAAAAACCAGAAAAACTACTTAAACTTATATAGTACATTATTTGCTTTTTTTGTATAAAAGTGTATTTAAATGTACATATCATGGGTGAAATAAATGTCTACAACAGGTTAGAAAGCAATTGTCCTGATGGTGCATCTCAATAATGTAGGCAGAAACATCCATCAAAGTTGAGTCAGGTCCTCACTCACTGGAACACAAGATAGGAGTCATCAGGACTCCACAGAGCAGAAAGTGTCCCCACAAACCCAGGAGGTAGGGTGACGGAGAAATCACACACAAGACAGGCCCTTATAATTACCTTATAATTTCCTCTGGATTAATAAAGTACCACCCAACCTAACTCTGGAGCAGTGTGGTTATCCTAACTGGACCTTCCTCAAAGCAGACAAGAAGCTCAAACAGACACCAGCCAGTCGTCAGGTGAAAAGGAGGATCCCAAACCCAAACCACTGGTCATTCTGTATGTTGTGGGAGTTTCAGAGAAATGGAGATGTTTATTCTCTAAACATGACATCCCAGTAGCTTTTAAACCCCAAAAAACATTACAACAAAGGTGCGTTCACCCCAAAGATCCAGTACCCCGGCAAAAACAGAGTAATATAGTAAATGCTGTTAAGTGTCAGGAGGACTGTGATCGGGTATACATCAGGGAAACAAAACAGCCACTGTTCAAAAGAATGAGCCAGCACAGACGAACAACATCATCAGGCCAGTGATCACTCTTGGTATCCACAGGGATGAAGACGTTCTTATCCTTAATATAGAGGAATGTTGGTTTGAGAGAGGAGTAAAGAAAGTAATTTTTGTGAAAAGAAACTGTCCGTCGTTAAACAAGGGTGGCGGTCTTCATTCCCAATCATCCCTCTCTTATAATACTGTTATTGCGAGTATGACAACCCTCTATGAACAATAAGCGGCCACAAAAAAGTAGGGGTCTCTGCCGTACATATTGTCCTGTGGGCGGAGTTGGTGTGTGGGCAGAGATGGCCCTAATCTTGGTTGGTCAGATTGACTTGTCTTGTATGGCAATTTTAAAGAGGAATTGTAATAGTAAAATAATATGATTTATTGATTGTCCATGTTTAAAACAGAACAATGATTAAAATAAAAATTATTGTGAACATGTAAACATAATTTATTGACTTCAAATTCTGAGCCACTAGCACCTTCCTGTCTCAAGTTATGACTAAAATTAATCTCTATATTTCAAAAAATATAGGTGCTTCCTGGTTAGTTTGACCAAGCTGTCCCCCAGCTTCTTCAAACCTAACCGTCAAGCTGACCGATCACGTCTGGGGCCAACTTCACCCATAAAGTAAGAAACTCCTACTTATTGACTCCAGAGGCCCCCTTCTCATTACAAGGGCACTAACCATTGGTCGTTAGGCTGATGATCCTCTTTGGCATGTGAACAACTAGTTTCGCGTGTCACCAGTACACTGGTTGAAGGTACGGCTTATAAGACCGAGTTTCCCTGCGACTCCTCTGACTGAAGAAGTCTTCCGGATAAAAAGACAAAATGTTTCAGCAAAGAAGAACCTTGATTTTCATAAAACTCCATTTCAAAATGACCACAATATCCCTTTAAAGGACTTTAATGAACTGAAAGAGGATGTTTTTTACTATGTTACAAGACACAAACAAATGTTTTCTCAAAGTTCATATTTCTCTCGTTGTAAGGCTAATATTAGATTTTGCAACATTAACTAGTAGTCAAACATGGGAGAAACTAATGAAGATGAAGCACACACATAATCGCTCCCCGATCACTGGAATGTAGGAAGCTGATTTAATCACAACACACAAAAGTATCCATTACATAATCTTCAAAACTGCATTTTATTGGTTCAATAAATCATGTTTGGTAAAAACGAGAACATCAATCAACTGTAAAATACAAGCTGTCTGTGTGAAACAGCTAATATTGCTTCTCGTTAACTTGTTTCTGAAATAAACTGGTGTTTGTTTGCTTTGAAAAGCTTCCCTGCAGGGCAGAGATGTTTGAAAACTGTGGGCGTAATGACTTTCTGTCTATAGATACACTTTGTGCAGCTGAGCTCAGAAGTTTAAAGCCACAAAGATACAGTAGTTTTAACAAACTGAACTTTTTGCTGCTTTATCTGGATTTTTTTTAATAGTTCGTTTTAGATGAGAAGCGCCACTAAAGCAAAGTCAACCAATTAGGATGGCTTCAAAAGTTTACATCACATAGATCTGAGCTTTAATTGGAAAACCTTCATCTGTTCGACACACTTTAAGCACTTTTTTAGCTTTAAATCACTCACCATTTGATGCTGTGAAATCAATTGCCACTGTGAAATTAATCTGTGTCCTACAAAAAAAGAACATAATTTGCATAAGAAGAAACACTGAACCATCAATCATATCAGATTATGCCACAGCGTGTCTCAAAGCATGCAGCGGAGAGCAATTAGGCAGCAGGTTATCGGCAGCTGTCTGTCTTCATATCAGAGCTGAGAGATAACTGTAATCCTCTCAGCTGAGGCTCTGCAGAGTTTGCGCCACTAACTGCAAGTGACACAAGATTTAATGATGCTGCCTAAGCTGCTATCATTTGCTTTCAATTGCTAGGAACTTACCCGCCTCTGATGTAGTCCAGGAAGGACAACTCTGTGTCCACCAGGCAGGACAGGAGGGTGACCTGTCACACAAACATGGATGTTAGATGAAACAGGAATCTCTTTTATAATCTGACTTCTCATGTAGCGCTTAAACATAATATTAACAATTAATAACCAGCGGGCAGTTTTTAATGAAACTTTCAGACTTCATTTTGATTTATTTTAAGATTGTTTGATTTAATGATCAGCGCATCAGATCTGAGAAATGTCTTTATTATTTGCCATTAATGGTAGGTGAAACACTGCAGCACGTAACAGAACAAGTATTATCTTTTACCTTTTAAAATTGTTTATTTTGATGTATTGAAACATAAATTGCAAATTTAAAGTGACTTGAAATATATTTTTATGAGATAAGATAAGATAAGATAAGATAAGATAAGATAAGATAAGATAAGATAAGATAAGATAAGATAAGATAAACC